GGCCCAATGGTACAGTTCTAGACAATCTTGTATCTATTCCAATTCAAGCCAACCCCATGGTATTTTCTAGTAGGGGGGATACCTGTTGAACAGTCGTAAATGTGGAACTTGGTTAAAAAAATGCCCATCTGAAGTAACTTGTGCTCTTAGCAAATTGTCTGACCTGCTGTCTAACTATGCTCAATCTGAATTACTGATAGCAGTGATCTTAATCTAGATTGGTTGATGCCAGTATCTGATGAGTTGAAAGATATTTGTACTGAGCTAAATCTAACTCAGCTGATAGCTAAACAACCCCAACTTTAAACACTGAAAAATCTACTCTATTAGATATTATTCTAACAAATGCCCCTCATAAGTTTACAGCCAATGGGATATTTGCCAATGAGATCAGTGACCATTTTCCCGTTGCCTGTATAATTGATGTTAAACTACCTAAATCTCGCTCACGCATTATTATAAAGAGACATTTGGGGATTTTAATGAGCGAATTTTTTTTGGTCTGAGCTGGGATTGAGTAACTGGGGGGTTGTGTCAACTTTCACTGACTCGGATCAGGCCCTTAATTGTTTTATTTCCCTGTTTAACTCTGTTGCAGATAAACATGCGCCGTACAAAAAACTAAGGGTAAAAGAACTATGTAATTCTTGGTTTACGGATGAATTGTCTGAGAAATTACAGGAAATAAATTTAGCTTGGGCTAAGGCTAGATGGACTGATTCTACGTCTGATTGGCTGTCCTTCAGACATCTGAGAAGTAGATGTCTATCCCTGGTTAAAAAAAGCTAAATCAACTTCTTGAATTGTGTATCAGAGAGTGGTGGTAATCCAGTCAACTTCTGGAAAGTGGTCAAATCTTTGAGAAAAGAAAACTCCACCCCCTCGGTACCCCCAGAAGGTTGTGACAGCCTCTGCTCCCATTCTAGACAAAATGGAAATGTGTGATGCTTTTAATAACCATTTTGCTTCAGCTGGCCACCTGTTTGAAAGGATAATCTCTGAAAATCCATCTCATCCCAATAGAGGGAGTCATTTAGTCACCTCAGAACAGATTGTAGAGAATGATGCACTAACAGACTCACATACTTTATTTTCATTTCAACCCTTTGATGTCTATGATGTACTAATTGTTTTGCTAAAGATCGATGTAAAAAAAAAAAACCATAGGAGGTGATTTACTTGATCTTACTGCCGCTCCACTTATTACAGAACCACTGACCAACAGTACCAGTCAAAAGTTTGGACACACCTACTCATTCCAGGGTTTTTCTTAGTTTTTACAATTTTCTACATTGTAGAGTAATAGTGAAGACATCAAAACTATTAAATAACACATATGGAATCATGTAGTAACCAAAAAAGTGTTAAACAAATCAAAATATATTTTATATTTGAGATTCTTCAAATAGCCACCCTTGGCCTTGATGACAGCTTTGCACACTCTTGGCATTCTCTCAACCAACTTCACCTGGAATGCTTTTCCAACAGTCTTGAAGGAGTTCCCACATATGCTGAGCACTTGTTGGCTGCTTTTCCTTCACTCTGCCGTCCGACTCATCCCAAACCATCTCAATTGGGTTGAGGTCGGGTGATTGTGGAGGCCAGGTCATCTGATGCAGCACTCCATCACTATCCTTCTTGGTAAAATAGCCCTTACACAGCCTGGGGGTGTGTTGGGTCATTGTCCTGTTGAAAAACAAACGATAGTCCCACTAAGCCCAAACCAGATGGGGATGGCGTATCGCTGCAGAATGCTGTGGTGGCCACAAATTTACCGGCGGGCTCTTGGTGCGGTTATCTCAAAAACGAAAGCCCTTTTGAGGATTGGCCATCAGCCTGTTCTTATTGAACGTGAATCCATGTTTTGCTTCTTTGTCTGATTCGTTGCTTTTTATCTCACAGTAAGACCTTTAGATTGAGATCCTGAAAATGCAAATGAATTACTTAAAAATCATACAATGTGATTTTCTGGATTTTTGTTTCAGATTCCGTCTCTCACAGTTGAAGTGTACCTATGATAAAAATTACAGACCTCTACATGCTTTGTAAGTAGGAAAACCTGCAAAATCGGCAGTGTATCAAATACTTGTTCTCCCCACTGTATGTTCAGTCCCATTATGGTGTCTGTGACAACATGGGCAGCACCATTGAGGCCATCTCAATTTTAAAGTGGTTAATCTCTTCTTCTACTACTTCTATGAGTTGGTAAACAAACAAACAAATTGAAAGAGTGCATACTGCCACCTGGAGTGTGTTCTTTGAACAGGTATAAAGCCAAGATTGGCAATTAACTGCCACCTGCAGTTATGGAATGTTTGGTCGCAAGTATAATTTATTGGCTGATCCCATGCTAAAACGGGCTTTGGGGCATAAGAGTTGTCTATCTACGGATCCTGCCTAGTTCTACTCCTAAATGCCCAGCACCTGTCGCCTTGGACTCATTAGTGGACTCTTGATGGCCACATTAAAAGGTATATCATCATCAGATCATTTAGATCATATGGATCATATTAGAACATCTTAACTGCCTTCATTGAACATGACCCAGAAATAGGCTCTCAATGCGTACAATGCTGAACAGGATCACTGCATACAATGCTGAACAGGATCCCTGCATACAATACTGAGACAACGAGCCGCAGAACAATTTGTCTGGTGTCTGAATCTCTTCCCGCTGCGTCTTCTCCACATATGTCCGTCTTCAAGGAGAGCCATTTCTCTCAGTGCCAATTTCCTGTCTGCCAATGTCAAATAGTTGTTTATTCAGTGGCTGCCCAATCCCTGCCTGCTGACACTGAGGTATATCAACAGTGACAAAAGGATATTGGAATACTTATCTTGGAATTAATACATTAGCCCAAACTTAAATAAATGTCACAAGATCAACATCTCTGGGAATGATTGGGCAGAGGAGAGAGACACAATCTGTGTCCCAAATGGCACCCTGAGCATTCCCTACGTAGTGCACTACTTTTGACCAGAGCCCTATGGCCTCTGGTCAAAAGTAGTGCACTATGTAAGAGATAGGGTGCCATTTGGGACACAGCCAGAGTCTAGATGTGAAGGACACTGCTTCATCATTCATTAATTATAGAGTAATAGGGGCAGATGAAATGGTTATTTCATCACAGTGTCATTACAATCATCGTCAGCCATTTTAAATATCAAATTCTCCCATTTGTCGTCATATTTCCACGTCCTACTTTCAGGGTGAAGGACGATTAACCCCTTCAGTCCTGATAGATACCAGATAACCAGGTGTCTTTTAGTGATCTATAGCTATTCGTCACCATGCTCAGGTATAGCTAGTCATTATCTATTCATCACCATGCTCAGGTATAGCTAGTCATTATCTATTCACCACCATGCTCAGGTATAGCTAGTCATTATCTATTCATCACCATGCTCAGGTATAGCTAGTCATTATCTATTCATCACCATGCTCAGGTATAGCTAGTCATTATCTATTCACCACCATGCTCAGGTATAACTAGTCATTATCTATTCATCACCATGCTCAGGTATAGCTAGTCATTATCTATTCATCACCATGCTCAGGTATAGCTAGTCATTATCTATTCATCACCATGCTCAGGTATAGCTAGTCATTATCTATTCATCACCATGCTCAGGTATAGCTAGTCATTATCTATTCATCACCATGCTCAGGTATAGCTAGTCATTATCTATTCATTACCATGCTCAGGTATAGCTAGTCATTATCTATTCATTACCATGCTCAGGTATAGCTAGTCATGATCTATTCATCACCATGCTCAGGTATAGCTAGTCATTATCTATTCATCACCATGCTCAAGTATAGCTAGTCATTATCTATTCATCACCATGCTCAGGTATAGCTAGTCATTATCTATTCATCACCATGCTCAGGTATAGCTAGTCATTATCTATTCATTACCATGCTCAGGTATAGCTAGTCATGATCTATTCATCACCATGCTCAGGTATAGCTAGTCATTATCTATTCATCACCATGCTCAGGTATAGCTAGTCATTATCTATTCATCACCATGCTCAGGTATAGCTAGTCATTATCTATTCATCACCATGCTCAGGTATAGCTAGTCATTATCTATTCATTACCATGCTCAGGTATAGCTAGTCATGATCTATTCATCACCATGCTCAGGTATAACTAGTCATTATCTATTCATCACCATGCTCAGGTATAGCTAGTCATTATCTATTCATCACCATGCTCAGGTATAGCTAGTCATTATCTATTCATCACCATGCTCAGGTATAGCTAGTCATTATCTATTCATCACCATGCTCAGGTATAACTAGTCATTATCTATTCATCACCGTGCTCAGGTATAGCTAGTCATTATCTATTCATCACCATGCTCAGGTATAACTAGTCATTATCTATTCATCACCATGCTCAGGTATAGCTAGTCATTATCTATTCATCACCATGCTCAGGTATAGCTAGTCATTATCTATTCATCACCATGCTCAGGTATAGCTAGTCATTATCTATTCATCACCATGCTCAGGTATAGCTAGTCATTATCTATTCATCACCATGCTCAGGTATAGCTAGTCATTATCTATGCATCACCATGCTCAGGTATAGCTAGTCATTATCTATTCACCACCATGCTCAGGTATAGCTAGTCATTATCTATTCATCACCATGCTCAGGTATAGCTAGTCATTATCTATTCATCACCATGCTCAGGTATAGCTAGTCATTATCTATTCATCACCATGCTCAGGTATAGCTAGTCATTATATATTCATCACCATGCGCAGGTATAGCTAGTCATTATCTATTCACCACCATGCTCAGGTATAGCTATTCATCACCAACGCTATAACTTACGACCCACAATCTTCCCGTCCACTGAGTTGAAACCACATCGAGACGTTGCCCTATAGCACCACCTCTGCCGTCATGCCTTATAAACTCTATTGCATGTTTAACTCTGCTGTACTGTACTGTGGCCCTAGATTGATCTGCTGTGACGGGGACATCAGTCTACTCCAGTCTGAACCAGGCTGTCCTCTCTAAGAAGCTGGTCTACTGCAGTTTTATCAAGGCTGTCCTCACTAAGAAGTTGGTCTACTCCAGTCTGAACCAGGTTGTCCTCACTAAGAAGCTGGTCTACTGCAGTTTGAATCAAGCTGTCGTCACTAAGAAGCTGGTCTACTCCAGTCTGAACCAGGCTGTCCTCACTAAGAAGCTGGTCTACTCCAGTCTGAACCAGGCTGTCCTCACTAAGAAGCTGGTCTACTGCAGTCTGAATCAAGCTGTCCTCACTAAGAAGCTGGTCTACTCCAGTCTGAATCAAGCTGTCCTCACTAAGAAGCTGGTCTACTCCAGTCTGAACCAGGCTGTCCTCACTAAGAAGCTGGTCTACTGCAGTCTGAATCAAGCTGTCCTCACTAAGAAGCTGGTCTACTGCAGTCTGAATCAAGCTGTCCTCACTAAGAAGCTGGTCTACTCCAGTCTGAACCAGGCTGTCCTCACTAAGAAGCTGGTCTACTGCAGTCTGAATCAAGCTGTCCTCATTAAGAAGCTGGTCTACTCCAGTCTGAACCAGGCTGTCCTCACTAAGAAGCTGGTCTACTCCAGTCTGAACCAGGCTGTCTTCACTAAGAAGCTGGTCTACTGCAGTCTGAACCAGGCTGTCCTCACTAAGAAGCTGGTCTACTCCAGTCTGAACCAGGCTGTCTTCACTAAGAAGCTGGTCTACTGCAGTCTGAACCAGGCTGTCCTCACTAAGAAGCTGGTCTACTCCAGTCTGAACCAGGCTGTCTTCACTAAGAAGCTTGTGTAAATTATTCACCAGTATGAAGAAGTCACTAAGTCTTCATTGTGCCTCATCATAGTATATGTGGTCTCTAAGTTGTGTGTCTCTAAGTTGTGTGGGCTCGAAATTGTGTGGCCTCTAAATTGTGTGGGTCACTAAATTGTGTGGTTTTCTAAGTTGTGTGGTCTCTAAGTTGTCTGGCTCTAAGTTGTGTGGTCTCTAAGTTGTCTGGCTCTAAGTTGTCTGGCTCTAAGTTGTCTGGTCTCTAAGTTGGTGGTCTCTAAATTGTGTGGTCTCTAAGTTGTGTTGTCTCTAAGTTGTGTGGTCTTTAAGTTGTCTGGTCTCTAAGTTGTGTCATCTGCCATTCTGAACATCTGTTTCTGTGAACATCCTCTTCTCTGAGGAGAGGTGCTCAGTCCTGACTTAGTGCACACACACACACACACACACACACACACACACACACACACACGCATAAGCACAGAGACACACACACGCATCGTGCACGTACGTACGTACACCCACACACATATGCACATGCAAGCACTTCATTGTGCCTCATCATTGTATATGTGGTCTCTAAGTTGTGTGTCTCTAAGTTGTGTGGTCTCTAAATTGTGTGGTCTCTAAGTTGTGTGGGTCACTAAATTGTGTGGCTCTAAATTGTGTGGTCTCTAAGTTGTGTGTCTCTAAGTTGTGTCATCTGCCATTCTGAACATCTGTTTCTGTTTCCTTCTCTTAGGAGAGGTGCTCAGTCCTGACTTAGTGCACACACACACATACACACACACACACGCATAAGCACAGACACACACACACGCATCGTGCACGTACGTACGTACACCCACACACATATGCACATGCAAGCACACGCATACTGGCCAGTGAGCCAGGTGAATTAAATATACATGTTGAAAAGCCCATTGGAGTGAGAGACGGTGAGGTCAGGATGATCTATATGTTAATGATGTGTGGCTTCGAGCTGCCAGAACAACTCAGATACTGAACACCATTCTTTTTGCACTGCGAGAAAGGACAACAATTTGATTTAGTCTATAAATCAATATTTACTTCATGTGTGAAATTAAAATCTCTATTCTATCTTGAAAATCACATTAGTCTTGATGATGTTGCATGTGACCTCTTCCATAACTGGTGCTGGTAGTGAGGAACCTACAGTACACCATCTAGAAACGATTGAAGCCTTTTCAATTACTCTCAATGTGACACCATCATATGCCACTCTGGCTCTGTATTATTGACATTCTATGGTAATAATGCATGTGTGTTATATGACCATTGAATGAGATTTCTAAATGATGATGATTAAAGAGACAAGATGATGACAGAGATGACTGACTGAATAATGGAGACCCAAGGTCTTTCAGGGATAGTTCACTGGCATTTAGGAATACTTCAGTGATATCTTGGACTATTTCAGTGATATCTGGGACTATTTCAGTGATATCTGGGACTATTTCAGTGAAATTTGGAACTATTTCAGTGGTATCTGGGACTATTTCAGTGAAATGTGGGACTATTCAAGTGATATCTGGGACTACCTCAGTGATATCTAGAACTATTTCAGTGACATCTTGGACTATTTAAGTCATATCTGGGACTATATCAGCGACATTTTGGACTATTTCAGTGATATCTGGGACTATTTCAGTGATATATGGGACTATTTAAGTGATATCCGGGACTACTGCAGTGATATCTGGGACTATATCAGTGAAATCTGGGACTATTTCAGTGGCATTTGGGACTATTTCAGGACTATTCAGGACTTGGGAGCAGTTAGCTCAGCAATGAGTTGTTTTCCTGTCTTCCTGGTTGTTGGCATTGCACAGACCATATGTCACCCATCCTAACTGTTACAAGCCCAGTGGACATGGTCTTCTCTTGGGGCCCGATTCAGACTTAGGAAATGTACGCCTTTTCTACGCACTTCTCAGTAGTTGTTATTCAGACTTACCTTAACGCACTTTGCAGGTGTGATTCCAAAAGACTCCACTTCGCCAGATGATTACATGACCCATCAAGTTAGCCAGGGGTATCTGACGGTGATTACGGCTAGCTATTGTATAATAATGCTAAAATATTTGTGTCTGGAATTTGTCTTTCATCATCAGTAGAACACGCCTGACTGTCCTCCACCAGTCATACAAGGAGAATGGTCTAATGCCTCCCATCAAAAAGAGAACTGGCCCAAGCAAGAACAGGTTACACCTGAAGCATGAGGACTTGCAGCGAGTTGTGAACTTCATCAACAACTACGCAGAGGATAATGCAATAGTATTACCAGGACGCCACCCAGGACAGAAACCCTTTGGTGGAAAGCTGCTGCCATCTCATGTGACAAAAGCAGCGGTGTGGCGTCTCTACAAGGAGTGACGCCACACCGGCATGTAAAGCATAAACAACACGTTTTGATTATTTAATTTACCTCCAACATGATTGCCACTACTTTTATTGATCTCACATTATTTCTGTATTTTCCAGAAGTACGTGTAGTCGGGCTGTCTTCCTTCAGTAATCTGTGGAGAATATTGCTGCCCCACATCTCAAGCACTAAGCACCGGACAGACCTGTGCTGGCAGTGCCTGATCACAGGCCACACCAAGTTTGCCCCCGACTGGTGCTTCGGCCTCATCAAGCAGCGCTTCAGAAAGACCAGCGTGAACACTTTGTCCGAGATTGCTGGTGTTGTGAAGGACAGCACTGTGACAGGGGTCAACATCCCACAGCTGGTTGGACTGGAGGATGGGACGGTGCTGGTGGAAAGCTATGGCTGGCAACAACACCTGACTCCGTACTTCAGGCCTCTGCCACAGATCAAGCAGTACCAGCACTTCAGGTGGATATCATTTTCATTGCATTGTATGAGGTTATTCTTCTTATCTAAACTTGGGAGGTGAATTGATGTTATGCAAGGTTGTAATGTCTTCTAAATTAGTTTTGTTATTTCCTGTTTTACAGCTTCGATGCTCTGGAGACTGGTGTTCTCCGAATATAGATTCCCTTGTTCACGCGTGGTTCGGACGGACCAGTTCATCACTATCTGCAGTGCCTCTATGGACATTCACATGACTCTCTCCTAACACACACACGCCATACGTTGCTGCTACTATTAATTTTTCTATCCTACTGCTCAGCCACTTTACCTATGAATGTATGCATATAACTACCTCATCTATCACCAGTATCACTGTTCTTGTACATACTGTATATTATTTTGTTGTTTCTCTACTGGCATTGACACTATCTATTTTTTATATTGCTATTATGCAAGTAACCATTTCGCTGCATTGTTTACACATTTTACATTTTACATTTTAGTCATTTTAGCAGACACTCTTATCCAGAGCAACTTACAGTTAGTGAGTGCATACATTTTCACACTGCCCCCCCGTGGGAAACGAACCCACAACCCTTGCGTTGCAAGCGCCATGCTCTACCAACTGAGACCCATCCACTTAGCAAAATGCAAAATGTGGCTGGTGGTTATAGCATCTCTCTCACATGACCCATCAATTTAGACAAGTGTGTCTGGGTAAGCCTCATCTAATATTTATAAAATATTTTTTATCTGGACACTTTCTGTTAACCTGAAATGTTTCCTTATTGTAGGCTACTACTTTTACCGTTTTTAGTCTTAATCTGTACCACACTATATGACCTTTAGCACATGACCTCACATGTGAATCCTTAAAGAGATGGGCGGGGCTAAGGCTTAAGAGGGTGTGAACAATGCTGAATAGGTGTATACAAAGAAGAGCTCTCCAATAGATACCAAAACATTCAAGGGCCATTTTCTGAAAAAGTGTGATTACAAGTTTATCAGCTTTCAAAGCAGAATTACTTTCCCATTGTTACTCAGATGCAGTGGATGATATACCATTTTGTAGCTTTGAGTCTCTACTTTTATCAAATGTAAAAAAAACAATTTCACATTTTGCTACATAAGACCGAATCAAGGTGGTCGGTCACATATGGAGAGAACAGTTCAGAATATTAGGGATCAATGAAATATCCATGAAATATTGGAAGGTAAGTAAAGTGTCCAATAGGGGTTGAACAGTAGTCCTATAAATCTACCCTAATAATCCACACTAATCATGGAACTGTGATAACAACGGTCCAGTCGTGAACCATGCTCCAGGTTTAAACTGCTATGTATGGTCTGAGTACCATAATGATTCAAATAGGCTACATGTCCCAAATTATTGCACAACTTGTAATACGTTAGCCTAACGTGATCCACTATTGCTAGTGATCATCATGAACAACCACACACATGTGACAGAGGAAAGAAAGGTAAACTAACAATGGAATGGAATGATGCAAAATGTAAGGAAACTAACACTAAAGTCAGCGACAGTTATAAATGTATGTGGGTGTAACTGACGGTGGCTACCGCAGGCAGGTCACCATTGATATAAGACAGTGTTCGATGTCCATCCATGTCTGAGGATGTCGGGCGATGACATGGAAAACTGGCCACTAGGGGCAACAGTGAGCGCTGTTACCTTCAAAGTAGGCTTTAGTTTTGCTAGGGCATTGTGGATTTGGATTTGGATGGTGGATGGGGGTAAGCCTTTGGTTCCAAAGGTTGCATGTTTGAATCCAACCATAGAAAGTTATTTTTTTATTTTAAGCCTATCCCAAACCTTAACGCTTACCATAACCATTTGGAGTTAATGCCTAACCGGAACTTGGAACCTTGGAATGATACAGAGAAGTAACAAACGTTGACTGACGTTTGGAACAACTTTGAAATTTGACGGTTTGAGAAACATGGATGGGAGACTGTGAGAGCTTGTTGGGTGGCTAGCGATAGTGGCTAGCGATAGTGGCTAGCGATAGTGGCTAGCGATAGTGGCTAGCGATAGTGGCTAGCGATAGTGGCTAATATTTAACACGATACAAACTGTAAAAAAAAAAAAATACAGTGAAAAGTCTGGGCATATAAACATTCTAGAAATCATAAATCAACTCAGGTTTGGCACTATACTGTCAATTGCGCATGGCTACAGAAGCCTATAGCTTGGGTCTCCAAATGTCATCCCAAGTTATAAGGCCAGCATTTCATAAACTGCACTGTGGAAAAGGTGATATGTTGATATACTTTAGTTTGCTGCCATGTGACTGGTTTATTTCATAGCGATCGTAAGGCAAAATAGATCTAAAACAATTGCAATTTAAATGTACAATCCCCTTATCCAAATGGCTTACTCATTTACCTAGCTCGAAAGGTCACTGGTTCTAATCCCCGAGCCGACTAGGTGAAAAATCTGTCGATGTGCCCTTGAGCAAGGCACTTAACCCTAATTGCTCATGTAAGTCGCTCTGGATAAGAGCGTCTGCTAAATGACTAAAATGTAAATGTATCAAGAGCTCTTATCAATTTGTAAATTACAGTGCATGGAGAATGGTGTTATTTCTATCAGAAAAAATAAAGTAAATGCTGTTCCACTTGTCTAAACATGTTTTCTCATGTGTAAAGGTGGTGGAATGATGAAGAAATGAAGTCAAGGTCAGAATACGACGTATCTGTAGACATACCTCTGCCACACCTTCCTTTCTTTAATCTCCACCCCAAACCAATAGGGGGTGAATAGCATGCCATTCTCATTCTTAAATTCAAGGTCAGAATACTCGTAGAGAAAAAAGTGCATAAAAACGGAATTACGTTTCATTTAAGCGCACTTGACTAGGGTTGGAATTACCCGCTCTATCCCTAGTGTCCATCCACTTGCTAGCATCCATAAAGCATCCAAGTAAAGTAAATAATCTTAAGCAAGAATAAAGATTATAATAGAAATTAAAGCCACAACACAAATAGCATCAAAATGTACAGGAAATCCATTGGTCATTGCCCTTTTGTAATCTCTAGAATCAAACAGTACAGCAATTAAAATGCATTCACCAAATCATTCGTGCCGCAGAATTCGTTCTATATTGTCTTTACTGTATGTGGTGGATTATTTATTATTATTATTATTATTATTATTATTATCATTATTATTATTATTATTATTTCCTATCAAATGTCGTTCTTCACACTACTTTTTAATTTTTATTTATTTATTTCACCTTTATTTAACCAGGTAAGCCAGTTGAGAACAAGTTCTCATTTACAACTGC